CCCACCGGGGTCCAGGTTGCCTCCACCTCATGCAGCCCCAGCTCCTGGAGTCCCATTACTTCCTGACTGCCCTGGGTGTCCCCAGCTCTCAGGGACAGCCTGGACCGGGCTGGAGGCACTGAGCCCCACAACATCCCAGAGCTTGCAGGCACAGGGAAGAGCAGTCGTGCCGCACCGCACCACGCCATGAATTATTGAGGCAGGTAGGAGCATTGCCTTGGCCCCGCGCCACCCGCACCCTCCTCTGCCTCTTCCTCCCTGCCTTGGGTGGGTGCCAGCAGGTGGGATGGGTGCAGCAGCTCCAGTTTCTGCCAAGTCACAGCCAGGAAAAGAGACCTTTGGAGCCAACACATCACGTGGGTGCTGGGCAGCCCTTAAGGCGCGCCGACGGGCGCGTGGGGAAGGCAGACGCACGCAGCCGCAGCCATGACCGTCCCCATCGCCAAGTCCTTCTACGACCTGAGTGCCACCTCCTTGCAGGGGGAGAAGGTGGACTTCAACGTCTTCCGGGGCCGCGTGGTCCTCATCGAGAACGTGGCATCCCTCTGAGGCACCACGGTGCGGGATTACACTCAGCTCAACCAGCTGCAAGCCCGCTACCCCCGGCGGCTGGTCGTGCTGGGCTTCCCCTGCAACCAATTTGGCTACCAGGTAAGTCTCTGCAGGCTACCGGGTCCGAGGAAGGGGAAAATATGGCATAGGCTCAGCTTTCTCCTTCCCCGCTGCAGGAGAATGGCACCAATGAGGAGATCCTCAACAGCCTGAAGCACGTGCGGCCGGGGGGTGGCTTCGAGCCCAACTTCACCCTCTTCCAGAAGTGCCAGGTGAACGGGAAGGACACCCACCCCGTCTTTGCCTACCTGAAGGCTCACTTGCCCGCACCGGCTGATGAGGCGGCAAACCTGATGGCCGAGCCCCGGTTCATCACCTGGAGCCCGGTGCGGCGCTCCGACATCTCCTGGAACTTTGAGAAGTTCCTGGTGGGTCCTGAGGGGGAACCTTTCCGGCGCTACAGCCCCCGCATGCCCACCGCCCAGCTGGAGCCCGACATCCAGCGTCTCCTCAAGCTGGCCAAGTAAAGCTGGCTCCAGCATCCCCCCTGCCTATGCGAGCTGCCACTCCCCCCCCCAGATGGCCCCAGCTCTCTGCAGGGTGACAGCCCTCTCTGAAACTGCTGCAGGGAGGGGGCTCGATAGGGGCAGAGGACTGGGGTGACTGGGGTGGCACAGGCTGGTGGCAATAAATGAACTGGAGGGGATGCGCCCATGTCCGTGTAGTTTGTGGGGGGCTGCAGATGAACCTCGGGGTGCCAGATACAGGAAATGCTGGTGGAGGAATGGAGCAGTGCCAGGCCAGCAGCGCCAAAATCCCTACGGGTGTTGCTGGGGCTGGGTGCCAAAAGCAGCACCCCACCCCAGGGGAGTGATTTCAGCAGCTATGGCTCACCCAGCTCGTTCCCACTCCAGGAATGTGTGGGGCCCTGGAGGTGGGGGGGTGCAGCGACCCCACACGAGCTCCATGCAGTCCCCGAGGTGGGGTGAAAATAATTTCTCACTCGTCAGCAGGGTTTGGGACAGCGCTGCCGGGCAGAGCGGGCTCTGGGATGTGGCAAAGGGCCAGATTCACTACAGGAGGAGGAATCCCACAGGCTACCAGGAAAACCCTCCCCTGATCCCTTTGCTGAGCCCCAACACCCTTCACCAGCTACATGGAGTCCAGAGAAGGGTGAAGCCCACCCCTAAAGTGCTCCCGCCTGCACCACCAAGCTGTACCACATCACATTTATTGCCCTCCACACACACGTGGGTTCCTGAGATGGGATGGGGTGACAACATAGGGTCCCCCTCATGTCTTCAGCACAACAGGGGCTCAGGCCATGCTGCTCCACCCCATGCAGCTCCACCCCATGCCTGCAGCCAGGGTCAGAGCTGTAGGGCAGCAGGCACGGCTGAGTCGCTGCTGGGCACGTGGGAGCATCCGGCATCAGGCACCTGCCACATCCAGGCTGGAGATTTGGAGAAGAGAATGGCATAAGAGCCCATGCTGTCCCCAGAGATCCCCTGGTGCCACAGTGGGGAGGTCCTGTGGCACCCAGGGACTTGTGCAGAGATACAAACCGGCTTCAGAAAAGTGGGGTCATCTGGCGGGGGTCGTCGGGCAGGATGCTGATGGAGTCCTCAGCCCGGCCACAGAGCAGGCACAGCATGGTGTACTCCTGCAGTGGGACAGGAGAGGGGGGGTGCTGCCATACCTGCACTCTGCCGCAGCCCCATGCCAGACACAGCCAGGGAAACCTGAGCTGGAGCCAGCACCCGATCCCCAATTGCAATCAGACCTGGGGGGATCTCATTTCATCCCCAGAACAAGCCCCACCACTTTTCAGAGCCCATTTTCCAGCATTTAGCTGCCGAATAGGAAATGCGCCAGGGAGGAAGGCTGGGAGCGCTGCAGGGCCCTCCACCACGGAACCACATTTTTCCTTCTCTGGACTATGCACATCACTGACACTGAAGCTTTTTTTCCCCGCCACAAAGCAGGGAGTAGTGTCAGGGGCCTCCAGATAGCCCCGAGCACAGGGACGTGGCTTTGAAGCCTTCGAGGCCAGCACCACAGCCGCCTGCTCCCTCTCGGGGCTGCCAGGGCAGACAGGAATCAGCAGGGCTGCCCACAGCAGGGTGGGTCTTGGAAACTGGGAGGCAGAGCCTGGGGCTCAGCTTGGAATGTCTCTGGAGCTGGAGAGGAGCTGCAGGGGGAACAAGCTGCTCCACTGGGGTACCTGGTAGTCATCCACCACGCTGAAGGTGTACTCATGGCGCGCGATCAGGTGGTGGCAGTTCTTGCAGAGGTCTGTGGAGGAGAGAGGACAGGGGGTTGAGGGGACATGGCTGCTTCTAGCCCTGGTGCCACTGCCCCTGGGGTACTCTCTCCCCTCTGCCCAAATCCCCTCAGTCCCTTGAGGAGAAGCTGCCATTCTCTGTGCTTGCCCTCATCCCCTGGGCCATTGAGCCCCCCAGCCCTCAGGGTGGGTCCCAGGTCATCAAACTCCCCAACACACCCCCAGTACTTACTCCCTCTTAACAACTATCAGCTCGCTGACATTGCCCCCCTCCCCAAGCCTTGAGATCGG